TAAAAATATCTGATCCTTTAAATGATGCATTCGTTAGTAACATAAAAATTGAACAATTCTATTCAAAATAATATAGTTCTGAAAATAGAATAGACATATACACCGGGTCATGCACCATTCGATAATTAACTTTTTCAAATAAAATTTTCTTTTATCAACCACCGTTTTAGGATTATAACTGGACCTAGCTATGTGGAACACGCTATACACAGCAGAAACGAAATTCGATTGATTGGACTCAAATTGGGTCCGACCACTTGTGACATAAACGTTAGGTGTCGATAAATTTGAGACACATTTTGGGGGATATTTAGGGGGGAATGGTAGACGAATTAATCTAATCCGAAGTTCAGAGAGTCTTTCGCTAAAGTTCACGAAGTATTGATCACAAAAAGGAACGAAGAACTCGTTTCCAAGAAATAATACTTTCCCATTAAAGATACCGAATAGAACCGAGTTTTAAAAAATAGAAAAAGTTAATATCACGAGTAATCGTGGCTCGATACAATGGTTAATTAATCCTATACAGGGAAACTTTAATTTCGTAAATTCGTCGTGTCTGTAAAGACTGCGATATTACTTTTGAGACCGGTAAATCCCGATATCGCCAAGATCCTGGTCCGGAAGAAAGTAAAATATCGTAGTACAACAGTGTCTGTCTAAATGTTGAAATAAAGGATTGCCATAGGATGTAACCGTTAAAGCAATAGCATGTAGACGAGCCATGAATACGAAGAGGAATTTTATCAAAATTGAAATTTATTCAGGACTCATTCTCATTCTCATCGCGCGTCATCGAATACGAAAGCACAGCTGGGGTTCGATTACTTGTACCCAAAAACAAGCTTCGGGTGTCAGCAGCATTCCATGGACATGGAGTGCCATTGACACCGTGACCTATACACCGATAATTTATGAGATCCATTCAAACGTCCCTGTCTGAGCGACCCTTACAGTCAGCTACATCCAAATCGTCCCGACGTAACACGACCGACATCCCAGCAGTTTCTTTGAATTTAACGGGTCCTAATTTTTCTTATCCGACTCCGGCTGAGGTCTATCGGGAACTGGGGCCATTTCCCCGACGTTCGAGTCATATTGTACCAAGATGTATTATAGCCTGCTGAATCCTGTTGGGCTTCAATGCTTTCTGTCATGTCCAGTCGCCTCTAACTCGGCTCGTGCTAGCCTAGATAAGTCCCAGCAAATGCTATCGGCTTTTCCCGTAATCAGAAATATGTTCTGTCAGATCCTGATGATATCCATTGTTGCCTGGGTGAACCTGACCGACTCTTATTTGCTTTCGTCGAATTTAGGCTTGAATTTGAACTTCGGCTTGCTCCCTGATATTTCGATCTTAGGTTTCGTTCGATGTAGTTTTCCCTACGAGAATAAATTTCATTAACTCGTGATTCGTGTTCTCGAGCCGGATACGAAAGAAGAAGAAATAATTGGCACGATTTTTTGAAATATTTAGAAAGAAAGAAATTTTGAGATAAATGGTAGTTAAATAGAGTTACTAGTCCTGGATAAATTAAACAGCTCTGATAAATCTTGTACTGCGTTCACGCCTCGTTATATCTTGCTTAATTGCCATGTACCTGTGGCCATACTGAAAAGGTATATACCTAACAGTGTATTTAAACAGTCTTCTGTTTAAGTAACTGATTCTACCTAACTAAGTCTACTAATTATTTCATTTACAAGATTGTATAACGATAACGATAATTATTGCAGTAACGAATGCTCGAAAAAGTGAAAAATGTAATGTTACTTATAAAATTATTCGAAATATCTATCTAGACGATTTAATATCTACATTTTTTATCACGGTATGTAAAAAAGAATTGCACAATTATGGTAGCAACAGTGACAGTAACGAGCCATGAAAATGAAAAATATAATAATAATGTTCGCTGAATCATGTACATGAAATATCTTTCCAGATAATTCAGAGGTATATTTTGCATTTTAATACATGTTTAATCTACATCTATACACGTATATGAAATTATTATTATTATTCATTTATTACGAACGCTTTGAAATTGATTATCAAAATGAGCTATTCTTATATTAAAATTAGTGTTAATAAATTAATCCTAACCTTTAATTAATCATTATAATTGTTTTAAAAGTATGCACTGATAGATATGTATTCTTTGGAAAGATGCTCCGAAAATTCTACAATCTCGTTAACAATTGTTACATCGACGAGTCATAAAGGAAAAGAACATACAATGTTCAAAAATTATTTGAAAGATTTTTCTTTTCCATTTAAAGGTGCGACTGCGAACAACGAAAGAAAAATCGCCATGGCGGATAATTCGCGTTCTCACACCCGTGTTATGCACAGATGTATATATGTATATATACATGTAAACGCCCGAAACGTTTAAGACGTTAAGGACAAAGTAAAATGCGAAACGAAGAAAAAGTACAGTAATAGCCAGGAATTTTTTCTTTCCAGACGCAAACGGATAATAAAGTGCCAAAGCGACGGTGAAACGTGCGATATTACGGACGGTTATGCACAAGTAGAATTATTTGAGGCGATACATGGAAGAATGAGATCATAGAAATACCTAAGTCCTTTCTTTCTTTGAACTTTGTAAACGTTTCACAGGCAAATACGTGTCAAGAGCCTGTTATTCAAGAACAATTTCCCGAGGAGCAGAAATTAAATTAATATAATCTTTCCCTCGCAATCTACACGGTAGAAGATCAAACGCCTGCACCCTCTGTCTATTAATTTACGAACTTTGAAACCGGTGCAAATTTTCCCGTAATATCAGACGCGTTGCTAATTTTCCGATACGTGCTAACGTATCGGAAAAATGAGAAAAATGTTTATCGCCGATACGTATGGACCTAGAGCATGTGCGACCTTGATAAAAGCAGAGCAAATATAAACACATTAGTATACTTGGGTTGCTCGTCGGAAGAAAAGTACCCTTCCGCTGATTGATTTTTCGCTTGGGAACCTTTAACGCGAAGCAGAGAAGTAATTACCACTTTTGGTAACGTGTAATCGAAATGCACTCCACGCTTGGTTAGGTTATCAAACAAATTATCCACTGAACGTTGCACCATCGATATTCCCGTAAAATCATATTTCAAAAGTTCGAGAATTATGTTAAAAAGGCTACGAATCGACGTTTGTTTCGTGAAATAAAATATTCGTTTTAATAATTTATTCGTTTTCATTTACAACGAATAAATCTGTATGTATAGCTACCTTTTATCAGTACAGGTCATAAATATTCATTTTTATACGCGTGCATATACCAAAGTCATTGCATTGTCTAGAGAGATTTCCTTGTGAGAAAGAGAATCTGACAGAAATTGTGCCTGGCGTAATATTAGCACCGAATCCTACTTGGAAATAAATAAAGAAACGCGAGATCGAAACTGTATGCATTTCCCTGGCAAGCTACCTGTAGCATATAAAGGTATAATGCAACGAGGCTCGATTTATTTCCCGGCCTGCTCCGAGGCACCGTTCGGTCAGTCAATAACCTTGCATTTATTTGGCATAATAAAATCACGTGATGGTATTTCGACTAGTTTTTCTATTCCTTCTATTTGTTTCTGTCTCTCTCCCCCTTCCATCGTGCAACGCATAATCTCCTCGTTCACCTTTCCATCGTTAAGTACACGCATTACCCTCTCTCTAGGAAGGGTGCCAGGTTAACTATATTCGCGCCGCTTGGAACTTTACTTACGGCTTCGCAAATACGATCAACACACCGTTCCTTTGACCTTCGTTCCTTCCACCCCTTTAACTCACAATGGTTAGCAACATGTACGTACACTGTCTCGCGAAAGAACAACAGAGAGCGATAAAGGAAAAGAAGAATAGGTACCACGGAGAAGAAGATGGCGAAACAACCAATTACTGTTGTTTATTTACCTTCGAACCCTTCGTACAGCCGATGTTCGCGGTACATGCGGACAAGGTTGTGATTCTGGTGGACAGTCACAGTTGCCAACCGCGGGTCGGGTACGACGAACCCTAATCAGAACCGGATGTACCGGGCATGGCTGCACTTGACAACCGCACACGATCGTCTGCGGTCCACCGCGAGATTTCCGACCGCCTCCTCGTTTCGCGCGTTGGTCCACGTGCAGCTGACAAGGCTGTACAGGGCAACCACAGCGAGCTGTGGCACCGCGACGCCCGGCACCTTGTACGCGTCTCCACACCCGCTCCATTCAACGACCGGCGTGCGACTAGCAAATGCACACCCCACACCACTCGACACTCTCGATTCACCTCGACGATCCTCGGCCAACATCGGCTCACTCCGTCACCCCCAGTTTTTTGGCAACCGTTACCCATCACGCATCGAGTCCTGACTTCTAGCGATGCGCGAACACTACATCCCCCACCTTGCCTCACGTGATGTAGCCGTATATGCCTGAAAATACACGTGGGCAGATGTCAGCACATGTCCGTACGTATATTTTTATGAAGAGTGCAGATGTACGATGCTTTCTTATTGTTTTCAAAATGTTTTTAAACCGTTTTGTAATCTACTTCGTAAATTATGAACTTTTTTATAAAGGTATTTCTCTTATGCTTTTTTATGTATACGATTGCTTCTGCTTCATTACAGCCCAGTTCATTGCTCAGTTTGTGCTAATATTTAATCTATATCATGAAACATTGCAAAAGTGATGATATCAAGACTTTACAAATTTTTGTATCTTTTGAAAGAATAGATATCTATCAGTACATACTTTTAAAACAATTATAATAAAAGAAAGGATAGGATTAATTTATTAACGTTGCTTCTAATATAAAAATAAGTCATATTAATCAATTTCAAAGCGTTCGTACTTAATTAATTAATAATAATAATAATAATAATAATAATAATAATAACTCCATAAACGTGTATAGATGTAGCTTAAACATATACTATATTTTTAATTATTCATTGTTACAAATATTTATAAAATAATAGACAGTATAATACATCAATAATACATCAACTTCATTGTGCAGTATTTAATAAAGAAGCAGTAAATATTTGTTGCAAAATTCGAGGTATTTCCTTGAGGTCCATACAAACGAACGCTCGTCCTGCAGTTATCTTCTCTCTTATTCTGAAAATTAGACATATTGATTTTTACACCTATTTCCAAAGAAGCATTAAATTCTTGTTCAAATATCAGACAATATGCACTTACTGAAAAGCTTCATTTTCAAGGGATCCAATAAATATAGCGTACGCATTAACATCCGGATTTGACATAAGAATTTTTGCAAATAACTCTGGATGAATATTATAACGTCTAAAATTAGCGTCGGAAAGTATAACAACGATACGTTCATCGGCATCTTCTTTTGCTAGAGTCCTGATCGCAAATTCAGTCGCTTCCAAGGTATTGTCGCCAGACATGCAAAATTGTGAATGTGCAAGCATCCTCTAAAAGAAATTACTTCATAATACTGCACTCACGTTTACTCGAAACGATTCTAACTACTATTACCTTTATTACTTTCACTCTTTGCTTATTATCTGTCGGTGGCTGAGTGTGATTTACGTAAACAATATCATAGCTTTCGCCAGAGTGACCAACGATATCGTATTGAACTTTTCCTTCATATCCACTGTACGCCTCCATTACCATGACACAAGCTTCCATTTCTCGTATAAGGCGTCCATCGTACCCGTTGAGTCTATACATACTACCAGAAACATCTACCACTAGTTTTAAACGCTTCGGTTTTGTTAGTGGAGTACCAAGCTCAGGTTCTTTCTCCGCTCTTCTACGATAGATTGTTCTTTCCCCTGTTAATCCTTCGATTAATTTAGTATCGTCCAATTCACCGGAAGTTTGGTGCCTACACCATTGACGTTCTTTACTTTTAGCCTGCAGACTTTCTATAAGAAATAATTAAAATTTCTCAATAGCTCTCAGCAATTCTTAGTAATCAAATTCAATGTACGTTTGATTACGTTTACAAGCGTACACTAGTATAACAATAAGCACATATCGACCTATTATAGTTCTTAAGGCTGCAACTTGGTTCTGAACAGGACTGCTGAACTTAGAGTAAAATTGATGATCATATTCACTCATATCAATGTCTTTTAAACGCTGCTGAAACGCCTTAAGACCCATTTCCCTCGCTGCCTTTTTTACATGTTCTGGTACTGCGTTTTTTTCTTCGTCACTAAGTTGGTGTACCGTATGACCAGCATCTAAACGATAAGGTCCACCTTTCCCACCAAGACCAGCTGTGTCTCTCCCTGAAAATATATCATTGCACACTTCAGTCCTGATGCATACTCGTATTTTATACATTGTACACTATACCTCCGGTTCCTCCTGCCCATGTATTACCGCCAACATGTGGTTCATTCTTCTGGTCAACTTTACCATGTTTTGGACCACTAACGTCCAATCCGGAATATCTTTCTTTTGTAATTTGCAAATTTTCATTGTCACTTTCAACCATTCTTTGCCAATCTGCAAGCGATTTTTCAATATCCGCTAGTGATGTTGTCCAGAGGCGAACGCAACCACTTGGATCTACTGTTACAAGATCTTGATTTGATTTAAGTGAAATGTATAATGGATACTCGTTTGGAAGGAACAATTTTGATATATGCGATACATTGACTGGTCTAAAAATGTAAATAATAAATTTAATAAATACTAGTAAAATAAAAAATATTTCAACATCAAATTAATTATTTAACACTGAAGTTAACAACAAATACTCACTCTGGTACAGATATATAACGTAACTTATGATTTACAACATCAACTACTTCTAAATAACCAACAACTCCCAATTTGCTTTCAGTATTTGGAAAGACATCATCAGGTACTTCATCAGGCATGACTGTCCTAATGATTTGTCCATTCTCCATACAAATGGGAGGTATAGAACTTCTATTGCGTTTCGGTCTTGGCCAAGAATAAAGTTCATTATAACTGTCTAAATCAGGAAAGCCAACAGCAATACTGGCATAGGTATTATCAGTCGATAGAAGCCTGTTTGGAGAATCTATTTTCTGTTTCAGTGCTGCACTAAGTACATTACTATTCAAGCTGCTATTAGTGCAACTGAGAAATGAATTAATTTTGAAATCATCTTTACTAGATTCTTTCACCTTAAATAAAATATTTGGACATGGTGACGAATCAGCAGATTTAAGAATATACTTATTTCCTTCTGTATCTTCAATCACCCATTTCTTTTCTGATGGAATTAAAATTGAGTTTATTTCAAATGGTACATTAATTGTGTAAACACACATGAGATGTAAGTCGACCACTTCTATTTTATTGTAATCATAAGTGTAAAAAATGACTTGATTATGGGACTTTATCAAATCAGATTTCATCTTTCGACGAAGACGCACATCTCTAAAAGCATTTGAAATTTTACCAAGAAAAGGTAATAATATTATTTTCTGAGCAGATCCTTCATTTAAATTTACTGATAATAAGATGTTACTCTGAAAACAAATATCTTTTATAATGGGTTACAATAAAAAAAAAAATTTATTTGATGTAAAAACTACTTACTGTTTCTTCATGCACTAAAACGTTTTGATCGTTATCAGTTGTCATCGTAAACTGAAATGTACTATCAGAATTTATTAAATTATGTAATAAAGTTTCTTGAACAGTGTCTGATTCTTGATGTATACTAAATATTTTTAATGGTTTCGTAGTCAGAATATTAATTACATCATCCGTTCCATCACTTTTTATACCTTTATTAACGGACAGACCTGCAATGATGCTAACGTCATTAATTGGTAAGGTCCAATAGCTTTGTAATTCAGTAAATACAGCAGATCTAGCTTCAACGCGGTCTAAAGGTAAAATCTTTTGCGTTAATCTTATCGGTGCTTTTAACTTAATATCTTTTTTCTGTACGCTTAATACATTTTGTTCATTCGAAAAATTCCAAGTAGTATAAATTTTGTTTTCCGGTAAAGACACTCTGCAAAGGAAAAGGAAAAAAAAATATATTAAACATTGTTTCGTTTTTACATTTATTTCTGTTTTAAATACTTATATATTATTCAAAAATAAAAGTACAACATATAAAATGAATTTTCTAACAGAATTTTTTCACATTAAATATCTTACTCTT